GAACCTGCTGAGAAGTTTACCTTTTGGGTCATTCAAAAGCGAGTCTAACTGACACATCAGTCCCAATGCTCAGATCTCTCAGCGACCTAATGATCCTTGTCGGCAACCCCGCAACATTTGATGCCATAAAGCAGCCCACATGCTCGAGCGCTGGTTCACACACACATGGTCAGACAAGTGCCTCATGCTCCATTAGCAGCGGACAATTTGTACCTACCGAAAATCCATCAAAACGCCGAGGTCCACAATAAAAAAACAATTCCAATGAAATTTTTCATGGCACAACGAAAAAATTCGAACCCCTCGAAAGACAACACGAAGCAGCGCGGCAAGCAAATAGCCCAGCTCGTCGACTAGACGAAGCCCTGAAGAAAGAATCTCCGAGAAGCTCAACCCCAGTCCCCTTTTTTATGGTGCAACAAATCTCAAGCTGGAATAAGAAAAAAACGGAATAAAAAAAAAAAGAAGCAACGGCCGATGACGACGACGACCAACGCAAAGTGAAAAACTGAACAAACAATGCGGCCAAGGCGGCACCAGAACCAGCAGTAGCAGAACCACCGCACCACTGCACCCACCCGCACAGCTGCTCCACCTTCGACAACGACAACAAGTTGAAGCAGGAGGCGGAGCAACAGCAACGCAGAGGAGAGCTGAAGCGAAGGCAATAGGGATTGGTGAATGGGGAAGGGGAATGGGAACGGGAAAGGGAACTTTACCACAATGACGAGAGCCCAAAGACCAAAGACGATGACGTTGTGGCTACGAGAGACTTTGTCTGTGTGTGTGTGTGTGCAATACCATATTATTAAGTGTAGCCAGAAGCAATTAAGTGTAGATAAGCAAACAATAATGTTCCTAGTCACGTACCAAACAGTCTTGGGACATTCTCTCACTTACCCACTAGCAAAGTGTGCGAGCTCTCTGCTCCTCTATCCAGCTAGTGCCGTAGTCCTCTAGTGCTCCTGTAGTCCGCCAGTCCTCTGGCTCATATAGTTCAGTGCAGGCGCTGATTACTCGCTGCTGTTTACTGGTCCTGAACTTCTCTTGATGTTCAATCACTCAAGTGTATTGGCCAGCAGCGATTTCAACTGGGTCTCCAGCTCTCATCTCCCATCTCCCAGTGCCCAGTCCCCAGTTGTCAAGTCGTCCGCCCCCCACTTCTCTCAGCTGTGTGTGTTTACTCAGTTGTTGGCTGTCTGTCTTTGATACATTTAATTTCATTAGATGCTACCCACCACGACAACAAATTGGTATCGGGGCAAATCCTTGTAGCTGCTCTACTGGCCATTGCTTCATGTCTTCGTGTGAGTGTGTGAGTGTGTGGAATTTAGTCCAATGTCCCAGATTGACAGAGGGTTCGGCTTTTGGCTGGATTGGAATTGATATTAGTTGCATGGCTTCACTGGAGTGACAGTTGTTTACCTACCTTTCTTGACAATCAATAAGGAACTGCCGAAAACATTATAGGACTGTACTTGATACAAAAACAGAGCTCGCAACAAGCAGTAAAATCAACATTTCACTTCGGTTTAAAGTATTTTCCCTCATATGACAACTTGACAAAAGATGTTTGAACTTCATTTTCAGCAAGTAGCGCTGGATTTGGATTGGGCCAATAAGCAACAACTATATTGAATAATAAGAATGTCGACTATTTTATTCTAACTTTCGATTATAACTATACAGATTAACGAGTTTCCAGTGTTGATCCAAAGACTCGCTAAAAAGCTCTTGCTCGTCCAACGATCTTGAGTCACGTCCCTTTTCTCACTTGTTCTAAACTCCTCATTTCTGGTTGAATTCTTGATGTTTGAAATAATTGCGATCCTGCGCTGCCATTCAACAGCGCAAGGGACCACGTTCAGCAGCAGCTGTAGTTGTCTCTATCTCTATCTCTCTCTCGATCTCTCTCAATCTCTATCTCTCTCACTCTCTATCTCTTACTCTCTCTCTCTTCTAGTGATAATAGATCCTTTAATTTTCACTGAAATGCTAAAACACTCGTACAATAAGATCTGTCAACTCCCCCTTAATATCACTGGACCGTGTCATCACGACATAGAAACTAACACAGTGTATGACATATACGTACATATATCACCCATTTCGATTGCCAATTTATAAGAGAATGACCATATAAATAGCTCAAATATCAACCCAAGTGCGGATAATTGCCAGTTAGCTGAGCATAAATAATATTGTGGAGGTGCCAACAACAAACAGCTACTGAAAATAATTGCCGTGATATCGATCAAATGTGTGTAATTATTAATGTGGGGGCTGCCACGGTAGTTTCAAAGAAAAGTCTCCTTCCTGAGCCAATTCTCTAAATGGGTTGGCGGAGTATTTGGACACCACTTAAAGTTAGCTTATTCTTGTACATGAATTTGAATTTCGAATAGGTCATTTTAAGGATAGCAATTTATTTATACATGTGGCAATGGAATGCTCTACTCCTATCGATGATGCTACTTCTACCATGTTAATACTTCATTTTTTTAGGGTAAATCACATATTGTACATAATATGTTGTTTGTCTCATATCACATTAAATTCGTTTAGAATATTGTTTAGCTTCAATCCAACGAAATTTCAACATACATAACATAAGATCAAATTAAAGGAAGTATTTTGCCAAATGTGCTACATAATATCATATATTCACAATAATGTTTCTTATTAGGAAAAGCTACAAAAGTCTTTCGCTAAGCACACATACATATACATATGTATGAACTGCATCTATGATACTTAATCATATATTCGATCATCTGTAATATATGGCTTTATGTTAGGTATATACATTTTTTTAACTTATCCATTAAGACTTGAATAATGGCATACATCATTATACTCATTCACGAAAGTGAATCAGTATATTGGTTTTGTGCAATGTCCGTCTTGCTGTCCGTCCGTCTGTCCGTCCGTCCGTCTGTCCGTCTGTCCGTATGAACGCAATCTATTTCGGCGCTATTGAAGCTAGAGACTTGAAATTTGGAACACATACTCGTGTATATCTCCGATTTATAAAGTGTTAAAATTTTCCCGATCCGCCCACTAGGGGCGTGGCAAATCGGAAAATGCATTTTCCGATATACCAGAAATCATGTTTGTTGAAGAGCTAGAAAGCTGAAATTTGGTATGTAGGTCCGCGTTGACCACCCAAGATCACGAGCTATGGCGGATATATCTCCGCCCGTTGGGGGCGTGGCAAATCGGATAAAGCTGTATCTCCTAAAGTTGTAAACCTAGAATGCTGAAATTTTGCACGTCAGCTAATGGTATGATTCTATAAAGTCTGAAGATAAATTATAAGTCTACGCCCGTTGGGGGCGTGGCAAATCGGACCTGAAGATATAGTGATTTTTTAAATTCTCCTATATTTTGGACACTATTGATGGCAGAGACCTCAAATTTTGTATATATACTGGGACTGATCACCCAAGACCAAAAAGTTTTGTCGGATATATGTCCGCCCACAGGGGGCGTGGCAAACCGCAAAAGTTTATATCTCCTAAAGTATAATAGCTAGAAGCTTCAAATTTGGATAGTTGAGTTACTGGTAGCCTCCTCTATCGATTCCCCAAAAATAATTTTTACGCCTCTTTAGGGGCGTGGCATATCGAAAAATACCCTGTAATTTTCACATTTTTTGAGGGTAAGCATTCAAAGTTTGCAGTTAGGGTACCGTTATCTCTTTCTAAAAACTGACCAAAAATGAGGTGTCTACGCCCAGTTGGGGCGTGGCAAATCGGAAAAACCTGTATATTCTACAGTATTAGAGCGAAACTTAACTACTAAATTGTTGATGGGATGTGAATGAGTATTCCGCAGTCGGTAACGCCCGACTGCAACGTTCTTACTTGTTTTTATTTTCTTTGCAAAAAATCGAAATATAGAAAAATTTGTGATGTATGTTGACTTTTTTCCTTGACTGTATACAGTTAACTTTCGCAGTGGACTTCGTCAAGTAAAGTAGTTTTTTCTTTCCATATTGAGTGTTTGTGTGGTTTTGTAGTGAGTTGTGCATGTGTATAGTTAATTTTGTTTTGAATTGTTTTCGTCTATTATAAAGTTTACGAATTTCTTAAAACTTTTTCTTATTGACTAGTCAAATGGCATATTTTTTTTTATTTGAAACAAATTGTAAATTATAATTCTTTACTTGTATGTAGCCAACTTCGATTACTCTCCAAGATACATAAGCTTTTGTGTTCGGCGTCTTCGCCGTGTTGCAAACTCACCCGCACACACACACACTCACACATACAATTTCACACATAAACGTAAACAATGCGAAGCGTTGCGTCGCGTCGCACGGCGGCGTCGCGACATTCCGCGACAATAGAGCTGAAAACTGACCACAGACAACACGAACGTAGCATAAACAAATAGCAGAACACACAGCAACTACGAATGCAAACACTAAACACACACACATATACGAGTACAAATCATAATAAACAAGCAAGAGAAATGAAATGTAGTTCGCACACACACACGCGCACACATATACACACAGTGGCACGCCTACGACACTTTTTTTTGCGTTTGCTTTTGACATGACTTGTTATTTGCCTTTTGCGTATTCATATTCCACTTTAAACTCACACACACATATATGTATACATATATATACATGCATTGGCTACACTTGTTTAGCTATTTTCGCTTATTGTTTCACTTCATTTGCATTGGCAGCTCTTTAATAAGTTTCAGGTTGTTCCAATTCCCACGTCATTTCACAGTAAAAAGCTTGAATTGTTGCCGCCATGAGCCTAAATGACCCTGAACTAAAATTAGAAGAATAGATGACAATTGAAATGGCACATAAAAAATGGGACATTCGTAAAAAGCTCCTAGAGCAGCCCCGTCTGATATTGTATATCAGACTTGATTTGGCTATCGGATATTTTCTAAAGATATATTATGGAAATAGCTAAGATGATATGAAAGAAATTCATGAGGCTGCAAGAAATGTATATAAAATTAAAATGTAGCTGAGATACTATCTATATTTATTATATACACTTATAATATTTATCATATATGACTGTATTAGTCCGGCTATAACAACTTTACTCATACCGTCCGTGCTAGCATTGCGACTAAAATACTGGTCCCCAGACAAACTTATATATATAAGCAAGCTTGTACGTTTATTACGTCTTCCGGATATAACGACGGTCACTTGAGCATCGAACATACAATTAGTCAAGACAAGTTGATGTAGGCATGTCCATCTTCTCGTCCGTTCCTTTCAGCACAGCGATCTCGAAATTTACAAAAGACTACAATTTAAATAGATATTCTTGTATACCATATATTATTTCGTACAATAAATTTACTTGATTTTCAACCAAAAACTTGAAGTACAATGTGGCCTTAAATAAACTGACAATATTTCCTTACAGTAAGTAAAAGATGTACATACCATATAGAACAGACAATTTCCAATAGACAGCTAGACCGCTAACTATGGGTATATATATATGATTATTTGATATAAGCCTCATCCCCGTTATACTACTCGAACAGGGTTTTCTATATGTTCTAGTCAAATACTCCCACCGTCAGCTTCAATTGGGAATAAACTTGATCAATTAGTTCAATCAAGTGAAATTTTTTGTTTATTTTTAATTGATTGATATAAAATGTTGGTATACTTTAAACTATATATGTATATTCCATATATGAATGGTGTCATCCTTTAATCCTCACAGTCTATTCAATCTGTTTGGCTGTAGAGCCCTTACACCACACACACTTCATAAATATCACATCTATCTGAATAAGGTTCCTTACTTAAGTATCTGAAAGAGTATAAAAAGTATATATCGAAAGGTATGGTAATTGTGTGAATTGCTGGGCAGCAACTTTGTCGCGCTGCTGCATTTACACAAAGTCTGACATCTCTGACAGAACTTAAATGTGTTTCCGCTCTGATAAACATGCGGATGGACGGCAGCCTGGCACCCAAATTTCTTTGACCAGAAGCAGCACCAACCATGAACAAATCCTGATATAAATAACAATATTAGATATAGTGATATATCTAGATATATGTATGTTTCACGCACCCACAACGTATCCCGGAGGCATACAATTTACATACTGACTCAGCGTCTTCGGTTCATCCCAGTATGCCTGACCTTTAGATGATATCAAGGTGCCTGGCATACAATAGTGACCAGAAACATTTGGTTTGCATTGCGAACTCCAGTGTGTCTCGCAATCAACACATTGAGCATCCGAACCTAGACGAAAAACTAAAGCACTCACTGAAGACCACCGCTGTATTTGGAGACCACTTACTCAGCACCAGCATAAAGACCATTCTCAGTACCAAACCAGGAAAGGCAGCCATATTTAACCCGAAAGTCTCACAAGAAAATTTTACAAGGCCTTTGAAAATCCGAAAAAATTAAATAATAAACAGAATTTCTCTAAATGTATGACACCTGATTGACGGGACAGGCATTCGTCCTCATGAGATTTCGGCAAAATATTCCCGACTTCGGACTGAAGAGCTGGTAAATCAAGCTGGACATAATGCATAGTTGGCCCCAGTGCCAGGCCTGTGGCAGTGAGGCCACATTCTCCGTACAATTACATCGCTGGAAACAATGCGTACAATACCTGCTCGGCTTATTCACAAACGATACCGGATTCAGAGCTACATTGCAGCCGATTTCCGGCGAAAAAACGCAACAGAAATCTTTGAGTAATTCTATAGATATGAGACAAAAATTCAAACAAATATATGTATATATAGGGATTCCTATAAGCTAGAACTCACTTATGTTATGATGCGGGAGACTGCATTCAGTGTACATCGTTGAAAGTTCAGTCGAGGGGTTTATGTTGGTGGCCACGATTGTATTAGGATCACAGTGGAAGCCTTCAACACGCGGCTTACAATCAGTATTCCAAAATTTATCGCAGCTATAGCATTGGCATTTGACAGCTGTCAAATGAAACTGGAGTTAGATAGGATCCAACTATATTTATATAAATTGATCGATTGCTCACCTGATGGATAAAAAAGGATTGGTAGAAAGGCATAGAAAGAAATCATTGCTAAAGAAAAGGATTTTTTAACAAAAATTTAGATGAGTACTAAGTTTAGATTTAATATATTTTCATAAATCTAAACTTAGTACTCATCTAAATTTTTGTTAAAAAATCCTTTTCTTAGCAATGATTTCTTTCTATGCCTTTCTACCAATCCTTTTTTCCTTTTTTTTTTCCTTTCAATATATTTGACATCTGAACTTTAAAAAAGATTAAGCTTTCATTCTCAGCTTTCAGGGTAGGAATGGGTATCATATCATATAATAATATTGCAGAACATTCGATACTTCAACTTTAAATCGATGAAAAAAAGCGCGGAAGTCCTTTACAGGAAACCTAACTCTCCAGGCATAGATATCGTAAATCCATATGCAGGGAAATATCATAAATCGATAGCAAACATCATCTTTAATATATCTATGAATAAATGTAGATCCATTACCCGTTATTTTTATCATAAAAATTATTTTAATAATTAAAAATAATTTTTTTTAATTACTCAAAAAATAATTTATTTTTTATTTTTTGCTATACAAGTTATAATTGTTACGGTCCATAATTTAAAGTAATCATGTGACTAAAAGAAGTTGGAAGATTATACATGTCTGAAATAATGTGAAAAATATTCGTATTAACGGGAAAAGGGTATAAAATTGGGTTTATTCATATTTATATATATAAATGTATGTATATATACTTGAATGACATGAATAATAATAATAATAATAATATATGTAACACTGTATAAGATTATTATCGGAATTTATAAGTGGTTATATCAGAAAGATTCCTGTACTCTTCCAATAGAGCAATAGATATCAATTCGATTAGCTATAATTCCTGCTCTATTCCTAGCAAAGAATCTGGTTTTACGTTTATTAACGATAAGCTAAATGACGTTTGCATCTTTTTGAAAATGATTCTCTTCCTTTTTTCAGTTCTTTATTTTGTATATGTATATAGATATATTTCTGGTTTTTTAATCTTTGTCTTAAACCAATTCTTCGGCTGGAGAAATTCTGTTGAATTTTTGTTTTCTTTAATGTTGATTATGCATAGTGGAACGACCGAGCGAATGTTCCGAGAAATTAACAACAGCCGCAACCTTTGCGTTGAGTTGAGGGAGTGCTGAATGCTAAATGCTGAATGCTCAATGTTGGCTCTGGGCTGTTGGCTGTTGGCAGAGCTCTGCGAGATCGGCCAGACAGAAGGGACACTAATAACAGCCATCCAGTGGGAATTAAGTGCATTCGCACAATCCGCAGACGAACTTTTCGACATTCGCCGAACTCCATGGAGGATGCCACACATGGCTGCCCCATGAGCGGCTCGCAAATCGGTTAACTGAGTATCAGAGTAACCAGCTTAGGAATTAACCAGCCGACTGTTTATAATCTCATCCGATCAGGACTTTAATTTTCATTTTTAAATGAGCTGCGGCCTCTTCTGCGATTCTTTCTTTTGTCTGAGAGTTTTACGCTTTGCTCTGAAACATTTTTTCATACCATATAATTATAATTATATATGTAGGCATATATAATTGTTTATCTATATAGCTTTGCAGTATGAAATATACTTGAATGCAAAATTTGATCAAAATGAAAACATGATCTCTCCTTTCAAGGTCAAAGATCGAATTCTATGGTTCCTGAAGAAGTATCCTCAAAATTTATGAGATCATACTTCAAGATTTACATATATTTCATCTGTTTTTAGTTATGACAATCTTCGTGGCCAATTAACTAACTGAACTGTGGAGAACTCTATGATTATTCCTAGCTCCTTTACATTCTGACAATGAAATCTCGATATTGGCCACAAAAGCAATGAAAATTCAGGACCCTGACACTGGTTGATGTGCACATTCTTCAGACTTACATCAGAGCCTGGCAAAAGAAGCTCATCGCAGCCTGCACCGACACCTGACCACATGCAGCACAAATTGGCCTTTCAACTGGGGCTTTCACATTTTACCGCTCCTTGCAACACCCCCTGGGCCACGCCCACACTTTGCATTGTTATTCAAATGCTGTGCCATTAATACTTCACTGGCAATTTCGAATCGAAGAGTTGTAGTCGATGCCAGCTGACAGTTGAGATTGTGTGGCGCTCGCATGTGTGTGTCTATGTGTGTGTTCGTATATGTGTGTGTGTTGGGTGCCGGTGGCTTTAGCTGGAGTTGCATCTTGTCGCCTTTCATTTGATTTCCAGCAGCTATTCATATGTAAATGTTCTGCTAGAGACTTCTGTACACACACCCACACACACACGTACGACCCTTGGCCATGCCCACATCCGGCCAAAGCTGGTGCAGTTAGCTTCTATTTTTTTTTTTTTGCTTAAGGCTCGCCCTGCGAATTTCATATTCGAAAATGAAAACTCAAGTGTTTTGAATTTATTATTTTGGCATTCACAAGCTTCCCACAATTGAGAGCCGCAGGGCTCTGTTTTGTATTGCTTTCAGTTATAGTATTTCTTATATTCCCACATTTCCACTCAGTAATTTGTTCTATTTTGTGTTTGCCGTAATTTCTGGCCAAAGAAGCCAAACATTGTCCGCAAACAATTGGCCACAAACTTTGTCCTTCGCAGTGCAAGTGAGCCAAGAGGTTTCGTAACTCCCTGGTAACTCCCCTCTGGTACCGGCTCGGATTCGGTCATAGTTCCGGCTCCCAGCAGCCGTTGCTGTGCATTAGTGGAACAATGTAACAATAAACTCCACACATATGACAGCCTATCTCTACGAAACTCTGATTGTATCGAGCGAGCAGAAAAAAAAATGATTATAGTTCTCAATGAGGGGACGAGAAATCAAAATCAAAATCATTTGTACGACTACCCGATAACGTTCTTATAGTAGAGTAGTATAGAAAGAATGGGGGAAGAGAGCAGAGCTCTGCAGTGAAACCCAACAACAACAACAACAATGACGACAACGAACAAAGTGACACTAGGCAACATCAATAATAGCAACTACGAACAACAACCCTCAGAAGAAAAGGTATTGAATTTCAGTGCATGTCTTTCTATCCCTCACATTTTTATTTGTATTTCTATACCCGCTCACACACGCAAGCGAGTCCATTAGACTCTTATTTTCTATTTGTATTTTTATAGCCGCCCAAATGCATTGGAGCAAGCGGGTATATTAGTTATGTTTTCTCTCTCTCTCTCTCTCTCTCTCTCTCTCTCTCTCTCTCTCTCTCTCTCTCTCTCACTCTCTGTCTCTATTCGTTTTATTTTATTTTATTTTTTTTTTATTATTAACAGTAACTCTGACATTCGATAAGATTAGCCTGTAGCGCCCAATAGGAACGTGGTACAAATTATTAATAATTCTACTAAGAATGTTTTTTGTATTTAAAAATATTTGTTAATTATTTTTATTAATTTACTTATTATTTAATTACATTAGTTGTGCAATTTAATATCTATAACTTTTCAAAATACAAAGTTTATTCTTGGATGGCTTATATATCGTGCTATGACTGTATCTCTACATTTAGAATCTAAAGTTGATCGAATTACCCTCGTCTCAATAGAAACCTTTTCAACAGCTTTTTTATAAAATTGGATAAGCAAAAGTCAACAGAGCATTATCCAGTCAGATACGCTCGCCTGCAATAGATGTATATATTCTATTTTTTTCGTTTTTGTTGAGGCATTTAATGAATTTATCAGCTGTGGCCATCGCCTGGCTCGTTTCTGAGGTTTCGTTCTCAATTTTATTTTATTTTTTCTCTTTTTTTTTTTTTTTTTTTTTTGTCTTGGTTCCATTTTCTGCTTCAGACATTTTCGTAGAACTCTCTGTGCAGCTCATTTTGGGTCATTGTGAATTCAAATTCTTGTATAACCATTTTCCTAGTCTTCCTCAGAGAAGTTCTTCTTTATTACCATTTGATGTGCCACATTCGCTCTAATGTTAATGGATTTGTGTCTGTGCTCGGGGAGGCAGGGGTCGCAGATGCGCCCTCAATCATGTCGCCAGACGGTCGTCAATGTTTTGGTATAGTTTTCTCAAATCTCTTCAATCGGAGGGCTCCAATTGTGAGTGTCTGAAATTGCGCGCATTCCAATCGAAAATCTGGCTATAATAAACTCCATTAACAACTCATATAAACAGATAAGCGTTTGTTCATTGGATTAGGCTAGGGATTCCGCGTGCTGTCGGCACTGTTTCATTCCATTGTTCCAAACAAGATGAATCGATCAGTTGATACATGAACTTTATATATACATATATTACTTCTTTTATTATTTGCATTTATATGATTCCATCCACCTTTAAATTCAAGTTCACTTTCAAATTCAACCTAGTCAGACACGAACTTGCAATAAAGTAGTCAAAACATTGAATAACTCTCATGTTCCGT